TATATATGTATATATATGAATGGTTTTTAAGTAGATAACAGAATATTTTTGTTCACATGCAGTTTTTATTTAGACTTCTTAATGATTAAGGATAATAGAAATAAAGAATATTGGGAGAAAAATAATTTTTAAAGCCTTATGACTGTATACATGAAGAACCTAGAATTTTTTACTTTCACCTCAGATAATAATACAGGTTTCCAGTGTTAGAGAATTTACATCATTTGTTTCTTTGTAGGGGAGTAAGTATTAATGTTCTCAGGCATGAAGCAGAATTTTACGGGATCACCCCATTAGGTATGTGTTCTTTTAATATTTGGTGTTTATGTGCTCTGTTAATACTTGATTTGACTCATGTATGAAACTTGCCCTAAATGAATTGTGTTTATATCAGGTCCTGATTTTTGATGGACTTGTTCAGTGCTTAGTTTTTGTGGATTTTCATAGTAAAAAGATATTGTGACTTAATTAAAATTTTCCTTTTCTTTCCTTATCCTCTTGAACTAGAGAAAATAAAAATGGAGTACTGTTTTTCTATTTGCATGTACTCTTGACAAGTTTGCTTTGAAATGTTTTTAGTAAGAAGGCTTCTCTTATGTGAAGAATTGGAGCGTTCCTCTTGTGGCAGTGTCCTTTTTCATGGTTACTTGCCTCCACCAGGTATTTTCACTTTATTTAATCTTTTTAAAACTTCCTTCTATCATTAAGCAAGTATAAACATATGAATAGGAAAAACTATTCCTTGATTATTGAGTTTTTTGTCTGTAAGTCTGCTAGAAATGGTAAGAACTTTTGATTTTTACAGAAATTAAGTCACATTATATATTGGAGCAGGGTTTTGGCAATCTTTTTCTGTAAAGAGCCAGATAGATTTTATGAGCCAGAGGATCTCTGTGACAGCTACTTAACTCTGTCGTGTATACTACATGAAGAATAAGTGTAGCTGTAACCACTACAACTTTATTTACATAAATAGCATTGGGCTGGATTTTCCATGGCCCATAGTTTGCTGACCCCTATGTTAGAGCACTGGTTGTCAAACTGCTTTTTGGCAAAATTAAGGAATTCTGCAGGATAAGTCAGTGTCACCTCAGCCCCACTTTAGCTAGAAGAGCCTGCTTTTACCTGTGTTATAATGTACTTCTGAGCAAGATTTCATTTTAAAAAATGCTTCCTGTCAAATAAAAGAATGTTTGAAAGTATGGGGAAATTCAGTCCTAAATCAGTTAAATTAGTACGTAGTACCTAACACATAATACCTGTACCATAATTGTAAAGAGTGGCTGACAGACTGGATTAATTACCCATTAATTCGGTAACCTCAAGCTTATTTATTGTAAGCAGTATGGCAGTAGCAGAAATCTGTTGACAGAATTTTGTCTTTCTCTTTGTTTTTTTCATTTTCATTTTATTTTTTAATTGTAATTAAATTATTTGCAATAATTTGCTATATTGGAAGATGTTATTTTGGCTTTAATGAAATTCACATTTTTATGTTTCTTTGTTACTATGTGATATTTTTAATTTTTGAAAGGTGAACTCAGGAATGTATTTGTTTTCTTCTTCTTTTTGTAGGGATTCCCAGTCGTAAAATAAACAACACAGTCAGATCCGCTGATTCTAGGAATGGACTTAATTCTACAGAAGGTGAAGCCCGGGGAAATGGTACACAGCCTGTTCTCTCTGGAACGGGAGAAGAAACTGTTAGGCTAGGTAAGCAAAGGTTACTGAAGTTGAAAAAGAAAAATATGTACGTTTTTGGTTCTAGGTGATACTGAGTAATTACTTTTAAAGATTTTTGCCTCATCTCGTTTTTTATCCAGATTTATCATTTATATCTTGGAAAGGTCTCATTTAACACTTAATTTTTATTTAAAATACTATGTAATCTTTTGTCTTTTCTGAATCTTTAGAACAGCATTGACAAAATTTATCTGGTAAGAGCCAGAAATTAAATATTTTAGACTTTGTGGGCCACACGTTCTCTGTCAGATCTACTCAACTTTGCCATTATAGCGTGAGCACATAATGGACAATATGTAAACAAGTAAGCATGGCTGAGTTCTAACAAAACTATTAACCAAAACAGGCAGAAAGCTGAAATTGGCCTGGGGGCTGTAATTTTCCAACCCCCAGTTTAGAATGTAAAATATTTCTTTTTCCAAAATCAACAGGATTTCCTGTGGATCCACGAAAGGTGCTAATAGTAGCTGGCCATCACAACTGGATTGTAGCTGCATATGCCCATTTTGCTGTGTGTTACAGGTAATGTATAATTAACAATGCTTTGCTTTTAGAGGTGGTAGTTTTAAAATTAATTGTGATTTTATATTTTTAGATTGAAA